ATTTCTCTAGCTTGTTATAGCTTAATTCCAGCTTGTTTTAGGCTCTATTATGGACTGTTTGAATTTTGTTTCGAGTTGGTTGTTGTATTTGAGTCTTGTTTTGCATGCTTCTAGTGTAATAGTCCTCATAAGCCTTATGTTTTAGGCTTTAGACATCACTTATTTGTGTTGATAACACTTATTTTGGGCTTTTCATACTTTATTTCAGCATTAATCATCTCTGCAATCTCCCTCCTTTCTTGGCTTTTTATTTTGCTTTGAAAGTGGTTTCAAGTCACTTGTTTGCCTAACCATGAAATTGAGGTTTCATACTTAATGGTTTAATCCCCTAGGGGGTTCATTACCAATGGTATGATTCTTTTTTCATACCCAAAGCAGTTTATGTTTTTGAGCCCTCTTTCTATTAGAGGACTTTAACTCACCAATTGACTCAATTTGCTTAAAGAATGGTTGGTAAAGTAAAATGATTAACTAAAACTTAGGACTTAAAGTGAGCCAAGATAAGAATTTGATTTTTTTTTTGGGTGTGTTCAATTAGATGTTAATTGAACACAGGGAAAATTGGGGCATTTCATACTCAAAGTGATGAAATGTGCCAAGTTTCCTAGATCTCCATTGCCCTTGATCATGCATGATAGGGTGATGGTTTTGGTCTTGTTTGTGCACTTATAGAACTTGTACACATTGGTTCCTTAGCCATCATGCAATGAAATTGCTTGATTGATAGTTTGAGGACCAAGTGTATCATTCATTTGAGATGTTTTGATGATAAGGAGGGATACACAGTACAAACAATCTGTGAGAATACCCTCTCTTTGCCTTATTTTCTCTCTGTTGTAGCATGGAATTGTGCATCACCAGTGGCTGGCCGACCACTGTTACTGGCCGGCAGGCCACCAGTGTTGGACGGTAACCCCTCAATGATGGCCTGCCGGCCACCACTTTTGGACTGCAAGCGACCAGTGATTTTTGAGCAGTGTGCTTGTGAAGCATGGTAGAGTTGATCTGGAGAAGGAAAAAGTGTAAGTGTTGTGTAATAGAGGCATACAACAGCAAAACAGTAGATGTTCTTCGGGTGGAAATCGAGCATGCATGGGCCTTCTTCGCTTCCTGGACTAGTTAATTAGTTTAAATTAGTCATTTATTTGTTGTACTTAATTAGTTGTAGCTAATTAGTAAAGTGTTGTACTTAGTTAATTAATCCGTGTTTAATTAGTTATGGCTAATTAGTTTGTTTTTGTGCTTGTTTAATTAGTTTTGATTAATTAAAGTAGTCTGTGTTGTAATATTTAATTAGCTTAGCCTAGTTAAATTCTTAATTAATTCGCTTAGAATAGTTAGTTAATTTATTTATTCAAGTTTTGTAATAATTAGTTAAGTAGTTTAGCTTAGCTAGTTCATTCATTCGGACTCTCCTTCGTGAGCGCAATGTAATAATGTGTATGTCTTCCAACCCCACGTCTTTCTTCCTTTTATTTATCTGCTTTTGATGGTTAGATTAGGGGCATTATGTTTTGTTTAGCATACTTCATGTTTGCATCCATTTATCTTGTATTGCATGCACCGAGGCTCGGTTCATCATTCTAATTGCATTGTTAGTTCGATACTTCTTTGAATACGTGGTTAGACTGCATGCTATTTAAATTGATCCATATGTCATATTAGTAGCCGAGCCTATTAGTTGCATATTGTATGTGTTGCATTAGCCATCTTGCTAGCTAGGAACATACATTTTTCTAACTAGTTTATTTTCTTGGCTTGGAGTACTAGGTGAGTTTTTAGTGCTTTAGCATACTTGCATGAGTGTGAGTGATTGCCATGATTAGCATGCTTACCATGAGGCTAAGTGCTTACTTGATAAACTGTTTGGATGCCTATGGATGAAGGCTTGTTGCTTGAATTGAAACGATTCAATGAATGTACGTTTAAGCCCACTTTGTCAAGTGGCAAATTCACAAACTTTAAGCCCACTTTGTTAAGTGGTAAATTCAAACTCTTTTCAAAAAACAAACATGAAATTGAATTGTTCCAATTCGGGCAAACTAGTCTATATCTTGTGTGTGCGCATCACATAGTAATGCTAGCCTAATAAACTGGAATGAAAGCATATAATGTTGATAAAAATCATATCATGATTAGTACAGATTGATCTTTGATCAGGCGAGCGGGGGTGCTCAAAAGTATTCATGACCTTCCCCTCTCGTACCTACGTTCCTGAGTTGAGACAATTTTGGTGATAACAGACACGTGACGTTTGGCATGAGTCATGGGTTTCCTAGATTTCCCAAAAATATTTAGGTGGCGACTCTGTATCTGGCAAAGCAGTCCAATTTTGGCAATTTGATTCAAAATCAATTTTTCAAAAGATTTGCGAATTTGGACTATTTGGTGTTTATCAATTTTACATTGCACTTGTGAGATTAGATTCAGAACCGTAGGAGTTTGAACTGTAGGTCTTCTTTCGAACTTCTGAAGGGGGCGCGAAAAAGCCAAGCTACACACGCATAAAATGAGTTTCAAAAGAAGATTTGAGACGTTGAAGTTTTGACCTTTTAACAGAAGTAGTACCCTCATGAATTGTTTTAAGAATGTCCCAAGTCTCTTTTGCTACCTCACACGTGCAAGTACGGCGAAACTCTTCAGGTGTGACGGTGCAAAAGAGAGAATTGAGAGCCTTATTGTTCCAACTCGAGTTTTGATAGTCGAATACGTCCTATTTATCAAGAGGTTTGGGAATATCAACACCATCAATGGTGACAAAAGGTTTACTCCACCCATAGATCACACAGTGCCAAACTTTCTCATCGATAGATTTTAAAAACGCTCTCATACAAGCTTTCCAATAAGAATAGTTTGTACCATCAAATAACGGAGGTCTATGGGTCGAGTTACCTTTGCGAATTGAATCCATATCACCAATCACACAAAATCACACTCCTATAGTTTTGATAAAAACTGCTCTGATACCAATTAAAAAACCTAAGTGATTCGTGATTAGATCAAGATTTAATTGTACCAATTCCCAAACAATTAAAACTAACAATCTAAATCATAAACACCTACGAAAGTGATTTAGATTGTTGTTTCAGAAACAATAAATAGACACAAATGATTTTTATGTGGAAAAAATCACTATTGGAGCACCTCCAATTGTGATTAAAAAACCACGGGTGAAACGCCACAAATCAATCCACTATGAAGGAAAGAAAGAATACAAAAAAACCCAAACAAATTACCCAAACTCTGTCAATTTGTCTTCAACGCTTTGTATATCTTCTACCGCAACCTTCGTCTTAGAATTGATTAGATTGATGTTGATTCCATAACATCTACGTCGACTCAACGACCGCACACAGTTTCAAACACCTTCAAACACTCCACGCTTGAATCCCCAGATTCCACCGAAAAAGAACACTCTTAAAGATGATCACTCAAACAACCCTTTGATGTGTATTATCCAACTACGTGAGTTTAAAACTCAAGCAAGCATCAAAGGAAAACTAGCAAAATAACCCCAAAAGAAAACCCTAGAGACCTCAAAACAGATCTAAAAGCCTTAAACCTAAAAAGGGACTAAAACACATATATATAGAAAGCAGGGGCCGCGCACCCCGCTCAAGCGCAAGACTTGTCGCTAGAGCGGAGTCACTAAAACGCGTGCGATTAAACAGGTCTACGCTTGAGCGCTGGAACTCACTCTCAAGCGCAACAACATGCCTCTCAGTATGTTTGCAGACAAGCCAAATAACTGAGAAGATGCAAACTTCACTCGAGCAGAAAGATCAAAAACCAAGGAAAAATTATAACTCAATGAAACTAAGTTTGTTCGCGGAATTGGAAACAAGTAGGGACCTAACTTCATCTAACTTTGAGGAACAAGAGCACACAGAAATATCTACAAAGGAAGGAGAACCAATTATCAAAAAGATATTCAGTCTCAGTCCAAAAAGAAATTCACCGAAACCCAAGCATAAAATAGCTGCTCAAAAAAAGAGAGAATCAACAACATTGCAATCAGAAAAGAATGCAAGAAGGAAAGCCAAGTTTCAGCATGAAACTGAAGAAATTCTGGTCCATGTGCAAAGAAGTAAGCATTCTTTTGAGCAGCTAGAAAATGATGAAGAAGATACAATAATCAAACAGAAAGTTGGTCCAATAATTCACCGGGATTCAAGCATCAAACACCAGTTGAAAACCAAAAAGGAAACTTGCCTATGAAACAAATCTCTACCATGTCAAAATTAATGAACACACTTTTGAGAAACTAGAAGAAAATATGTTCATAATCTGAAGACTAGAAATGGCGAAGGCAAGAATCCAAGCAGAAAATGATGACCTTAAGGACCAACTCATGAAGCCCAATAAACAAATGGACGAAGGCAGGAACAAAGCAAAGACACAAATGTAAGTGAAAGATGTGGAAATAATGCTACTTAATAAGAGAATTGCAATGTTGGTTGAATCAAATGTCTACCTTGACAGTCAAGAACAACAAATTGCAGTTGAAGTTAAAGCCACTACTCCCAAAAAATTGCCTCTTGAGCTCAATGATAAAAAGGGTGAAAAATAGAGAAACAAGAAGAGAGCACAAGGATCCAGATTTTTGGTACATAACAAAAAAACAAGCAAACCAAAACAAGACAATTGATGAAGTACAACCAATGGTTGAAGAAAAGGCAAATACCATAAAAGAAGAGGAGACACGCCAACAACATCCAACAAAAGACATGGACACTTCCTATCCAATGTTTCACAAATTGCCAAAGAGAACAAGGATAAAACTCACTAGTCTTTGGACAACAAAAACCAATAGGTAAGAACATGATTTGGTCCTAAAATTTCCAAATTTGGAATCTAAATTTGAGTATATTATCATGCATTTATCAATGTATAACCTTTGTTTACTTAATTCATTGATAAATTTTACTAATTTGTTTAGTTGAGTGATATATTTTGCTAATCTTCATGGTGTCTCATCGATGGTATGAAATTCTTTGGGCATTTCTATTTATGTTGTGTACTTGAGTTCATTATTGGGATTTGATACATCAAGTAAAATTTGACGCTCAATTTCTTCCCCTAACCTTTCTTTGATTAATTGAGCAATAAATTTTGCTATAAAATGATAAATTTTGTTTTGATATTTGCAGTGATCCAATCTTACAAGGAAAGCAAATAGGTAGCTATTTGTACTTGGATGATATTGACAAAATAGTCAAATGTGAAGAACTTTTTGGAAGTGTAAAATCAAATACCTATTTGTGCACATATCAATTGTAATACACAATAATAATTCTCTTATTAACCTTGTTTGCTTTTGCTTTTAAAATAGGCAATAAATGCCTACAAGGAAATCTTAATGAGAGAAGAGCAACCGAAACCAAAGTTTAGCTGAGTTCGCAAGCAGGAACAATATATATTTACTACATCATGCCACGTAAGTAATATATATATATATATATATATAAGTTTTTCATTATGATGTCATCCATTCCCCTTTTCTATATTTAGTGCATAAGTTCTCATTCATCCAGTGTTATAGTGATAAAATTACTATTACTAAATTGCATTGTAATCAAACCGATATATTTGCAAAAAACAGTATTTGTTCACCACTGAGACAAACAAATCAATTGTTGAACACAATGATGTTAGAAGCTCTCAAGGAAAGATATCTTCTTTTCCCAATTTTCAACGAAAAGCATTGGACGTTGTTGGTACTTGATACTGAAAATGACTCATGGCAGTTTTACAATTCAACGAGACCAACCACAGAAACAGATAACCATTTAAATGAGGCAAACAAAGTGGTAAGAAAATTTTAAAGTAACAAATTTTATTATGCATTTATTTGTCAAAAACCAATTAATTATGCATTTGTTTTGCAAAGAAAGATTATTGAGAAATACCTTCAACATCGTAATTCCAAACTGATTGAAGGTAACAAGTTTCATAAAGAAACATAAATTGCAATGAATTGTCCCTAACAAGTTGATCTTTCGTAAGTGTCTGAAAACCAAAACACATTACAGTGATAAAATTATCATTGATGACTACTAACTTTGTTTTTCCAATATTATTGCAGACTTGATTGTGGTGTCATAGTTTGTTACCTCATGAGAGAATATGTCTGTAACAAAGACATCTTCCCTAATCTAACAAAGGACTAGTGCCAACAAATCAGAGCAGATATCATAGATGCTTTGTTGACTGACAAACAGACAGATACACAACAAATTATTGATGACGCAATAGAAGCAGTGCTTGAGGACAAAGATTTTTGGAACATAATACACAATGACAACAATGAAGTAGAATAATTTGATAGTTGACAATACTTGAGTAAACACCAACTCCTTTCCAAGTATATGGTTGGAAGTAGAAACAAATAACAGTATAGTATTTCATGGTTTTTGGGATACATTTATCACTGTTGGAACAAAATGGAATTATAATGATATGATAGTTGACAATTCTTTCGTGAATTATGAACTCCTTTTTCAAGTAGAAGATTGCAAATACATTACTTGGTGTTAATAGTATTTCATAGTTTCATAGTTTTTTACTTCTTGAATGATATATTCGTGATTGATTATAGGTTGGATGCTTGAATGAAACATGCAAATATTTTGCTTAAAATTCCTTGATTGTTAAGAACACCTTTTTACTTTTTGTTATTTTTTCACTAATAAATATATGACTATTAAGCATAATGGAGTTATATTTTTTTTCTAATTGAGAAATTTACGGTTTCATTACCTTATTAAACCCTCTATCTCTCTCCCCCTCTTTGTTCCCAACATGTTTAGGGGAAGCCTTCTCTTCGCTACTGGTTACATGGCCATTATTGTTGTAAATACTAAATGTAGTACTATCTATATTATAAGACAAGAAGGTTTTTCAAAATGTCACACACATTTGTCCTACTACGACATTTGTCCAAATTACAAAACAATGGTTGTATGTATTATGATATTAATCCACAATTTAGATAACATATGTATTATGATATTAATTTCTTTATTATTTATTTTTATACTTACTTATCTAAATTACACATGCTTCATGTCTGCCACCCACTAATTTAAAATAATAAAAGAGACTGATAAATTTATCATTGAATAAAAATTAACTGATAATAATCACTGACAAAATTATCACTCATACAAAAAAAAAAAAATATTTATCACTGTTATTATTTACGTAGACTTATTTATTTAAAAATTTTGACTAATAAATTTATCACTGTTATTATTGAAAGGCATAAGCAAAATTTGAACCCAAGATGTTAGGTCTCAAAAATAGATTGATAAATTTATTTTTAAATAAAAACTAACTGATAATAATCACTGACAAAATTATCACTGATATTATTCCTGGAAAAATATTTGCCATACGCACCGAAACAAAAGCGTGAGTCACATGTGATTCAAACCCTCCCACTCCCCGCTCCCACTCTGACTCTCATGGCCATCGATTGAGCCGGACCACTTCCACACTCCCTTTCAATTTCAAATCCTTACATTCTCAGGCCATATTATGATTGAATCTCCACCGGTTTGAAACCACATTCTCAGGTGCCATTCTTCACCGTCAATTGAAACCCTTCCATTCTCAGGCAATTGGAACAACGAACCCAACAACTCAGGCCATTCGAACAGTGAATCCGATAACTTAGGAGATTCGAACAAAAATTCTAACCAAACATGCCTGTAAAATGTAAGGAACTCAAACCCTAACTTCTCTTCCTAGTCAAACACATTTCCGAAACCCTAGATGTTGATATTCATTTTTAATGTTAGAATGGTAAATATATAGTCATTGAGTTTGCAAATATGAAGATATGGTTCAATTACCACTTGCAAATTTCAATTATATTAGGGAATTTTTAGAAAATAAAATGTGCCATCCACATCTACATAACTTTATACTTTATTATATAGATATATAGTGAAATATATGTAGTGTTTGTTTTTTAATTGATAAGGATGTTGGTTTTCAAGTTCAAGATTGGGTTTAAATCTTGTATATTTCACTTTATAAATATATATATTTTTTATTTTTGATATAAAAAAATTCACTTAACAAAAGAAGAGAGTATGTTTCAAAAAACTAAAATGAATTGTTCACATACATAACAGTAACCATAGATACATATATATATATATATATACAACTGATAAGTTTATCAAACCAACTGATAAGTTTATCAACTGATAAGTTTTGTTCACATACCAAACCAATTGATAAGTTTATCAGTTACATATTCATCACCAGTTCTATGTAGTGATACATTTACAAAATTTTGATGTAGGGAGAACATGGTTGGCACAATAGTCAATAGACGCACCAACTTGAACAAATTTGATCTCTTTTGGGAAAGAATTTGCCTCAGTCTATTTTTCTTTTTTTTCCCCAAATTTGATCTCAAAGTAGGTTTCTGGCAAATTGGAATCGATCCAGAGGCAATACCAGAACTAGGATTTTTTAATTCCTAATCATCAGTATCCTTTTCGGCTTACAAAGATAACCAAAATGAAGAATGAAAGAGAGAGAGAGAGAGAGAGAGAGAGAGAGAGAGTAAATTATATCATAAATTGTCCATTTTTGGGTACAAACCTAACTTTTTGCATAATCTGTACAAAGTGATCAGTGATTGCCCTTACGTTCAAAGCCCTTAACCTCAAGGTTAGTAAGCCGAGTTTTAACCCCTGAACTAGTGGTTGGTGTTTACCACTTGGACTTCCTTTTTCTTGGTAAGTCATTTTATTACCAAAATAAGGTTTTACAATTGAGCTCGTTACATTGCCCTCAAAGGGCGCAATCAACATATGAGAGCTAATGCCTAATTGTTCAGCCCGAAGTCATTTTCTTGAAGCAGAGAGAAAGATTAGGATGTAAATTATAGATTTGTGAACTTGGTGTGTTGATATTCTTTTTCAACTTTTCCTTTTGGTCGTGTCAGTGGTCTAAAATTTGAGAGGACTATAGCAGTGGTATGCTGCTAATGTCTCATTCCTTTTAGACCTTCTTTTAAAAAAGGAAAAGCGGCATTCTTTTTGGATTAAGAGATAACTGATCCTTGTGCCTTCTCTGATCATCAGATGGCTTGTTCCAATGATGTAGGCCTTTCAGTTGCTTTCACATATTTGGTAGATAAATAAATATTCTTGTGGTGCCAGTTTCCAAGGCTTCATTAACCAAATTTATCAGCAGCTTAATAGAAATCTATTTGTATGGGGTTGACAAAAGTAAAATTGAGCTTTCAGTTTTTTTACAACAATGATTATTTTGAATAAGAAAATTAAAGAAGTTCTAATTAATTGGTTGAGAAAACCATCGAACCATTATAAGAACATACCGGTGGTGGGTGTTCCTGGTATGTCTTCATTATTAAATCATCATGTAAGATATGAAACACTACTTGCCACGATATGGATGGTAGAACGGAAAGGAGGAAAATTACTAGCATTCATTTGTGAAATCAAAAAAAGATAAAGAGAATTCGGATATTGATAATTAAATACTCATGAATCCAGAAGAATTATGGATATATTGAAGTTTTATCAGCGTATAACATTTTTTTGCTTAATTAACTGATAAATTTTGTTGTATATCCATAAATTTTGCATGGTTTGCCTAATTCATTGATATCCTTCTTTCATATAGATGTTGTGAGTTCTCGTAAGAGATTATCTAGGCCAAAAACAAGATCTGTAACTGCAAAAAGACAAAAGCAAGAAAAGGAAGATAACAACGACACAAAAAAGCAACAAGATAATAAAAAGAAAACAGTAACAACAGAAACAACAAGCAAACAACAACAAAGGAAGAAAGAAGACAAGGACAGTAGAAGGATGAACCTGCGAATGATGCTAAAAAACAAGGAGAAGCAAAAGAAAGAATAAGTAAACACTAACAACAGAAACAAGCAGAAACAAGAATAACAAGAAGCAAACTCTAACAAAAGAAACAAGAAGCAAACTCTAACAAAAGAAACAAGAACCAAAGTAGCACAAACCAAAAGGCAAGAAGAAAATAGAGGGAAGAAAAACAAGAACTGAACAAATTCACGACAATGAAGCAAAGTATGTGTACCGCTCAAACATACAATCTCTTTTCAAATTTTTCAATGTAACAAAACTTGGAAAGGAGCATTTCCAAATATTGAAAAAGACTCCTATAGACACCCTATTTTTGACGGCCCATACGACTTGGACATCCTTGTAGGTACACCTGATGATGAGTCTGTTTGCTCGTCGAGTGCTCGAAGTCCTCAGTGGAACGCTACAACTTTGAGCCTTTCAAACCCTGCATCCATTTTGTCTCGTTTTTGGATGAGGCCTTGATCTTTCCAGCTTGCAACCTCTGGTGGACGAGGCCCTGAATCCATTAGAGTAGTTAAATGCTTTAATTACTTAGCTTACTTGCATTTGTGTAATTTAATTAGCTTACTAGTTAGTTAAATTCAAAGTGTTGTAATAATTAGTTAATTAGTTTAGCTATTTATTTCATTCGATTTTGTAATAGTTAGCTTAATTTGCTTAGCTTTAATTAGTTGCTAGTTAGCTTAGCTTTATTCATTCGGACTCTCCTTTGTGAGAGCGTAATGTAATAATGTGTATGTCTTCCAACCTCACGTCTTTCTCCCTTTTACTTAACCGCTTTGGATGGTTAGTTTATGAGTATCACGTTTCAATTAGCATACCTTATGCTTATATCCATTCATTTTGTATTGCATGCACTGAGGATCGGCACATCATTCAAACTGCATTGTCGTTTTAATACTTCGATGAATACATGTTTAAAATGCATGCTCTCAAATTGTTGCAAATAAAATGTTAAGTAGCCGAGCCTATCTTAGTTGCATTATTGCATGTGTTGCATTAGTCATTTGGCATAAGTTAGGAATCATGCATTTTTTTCTAACTTTATTTTTCTTAGCTTAGAGTACTAGGTGAGTTTTTAGTTCTTTAGCATACTTGTATGAGTGTGAGTGATTGCCATTTCTAGCATGCTTGCCATGAGGCTAAATGCTTAATTGATAAACTGTTTGAATGCCTGTGGATGAAGGCTTGTTGTTTGAATTGGAATGATTCAACGAATGTACGTTTTAAGTCCACTATGTCTAGTGGCAAAGTTGCAAACTTTAAGCCCACGTTAAAGTGGCAAATTCAAACTCTTTTTGAAACAAACAAGAATTGAATTGTTCTAATTTGAGCAAACTATACTTGCTTGTGCGCATCACATAGTAATGCTAACCTAATAAACCGAAACAAGAGCACATAATGTAAATAAAAGTCATAACATGACTAGTAGAGGCTGATCTTCGATCGGGCGAGCAGGGGTGTTCAATTCGTGACCTTCCCCTCTCGCACCTAAGTTCCCGAGTCGAGGCAACTTTGGTGATGATGGACACGTGACCTTTGGCACGAGTCATGGGTTTCTAAATTTCCCCCCCAAAAATAAAATATTTAGGTGGCGACTCTGTATCTGGCAAAACAG